GGCATGGTGGCACGAACCAGGAGTGCTAGTGCTACAGTGATCTCAAGGCCAGCCTGAACTGCATAGCAAAACCCTGCATCAGAAAGACAAATAAATAAGCAAGCAATTCTGTTTCTTAGAGGCCAGTCTAAGGAATGAAGTAGAAGATGTGAAGAAGAAAAACAGTAAAATGATAATTGTGGTTCTTTTGAGATGGTGGCACTGTGGATAATCTTTTTTATTTTTTTCCTTCCTGTATTTAGGACAGGGTCTACAGGGTCTCAGAACGTAGATTAGACTCAGTGATTCTCCTGTTTTCAGCCACCCAAGTGCTGGGAGTACAGGCGTGTGCTCCCACGCCCAGTCTCCATCACCATCTTAGCATGCTACGCAGGTGGAACCCACATGGCAGGCTGGAGATCGAACCCCAGCCACTGCATCTGCCAGCGCAAGCACTTTAGTTTGCTGAGCTGTCAAACTGGCCCTCTGTGGATAATCTTTGTCCTCTAAATTTTTGGAAATTATGATTTTGTTACATTTAGAATTAAGAAACTATCCAATCATATTGCTTTTTTATTTATTATTATTTTTCTGTATTTTAGGGAAGGGTCTACAGGGTGTTTAGGGTCTCACTACTAGAGCAGACTTGTAGTGATTCTCTTGTTTACAGCCTCCCAAGTGCTGGGATTATAGGGGTGCACCATCACGCCCAGTCTAATTGCCGGCCTAGCTCACCCTGGGGGTGCAGGCCCCAGGGAGGGGAACCCCTAGCTGCTGCACATGCCTGCAGGTGCGTTAATCCGCTGAGCTATTTGGCCAGCTCCCCCCCCCCCCCGCAGCCCCCCTGGTTTTTTTTTTTTTTTTTCCAGAACCCTCCTGACTGATGCCAACTCTGTGGTCCTGTGACTACCTCTGGCTATTCTCATATTCTATTCATTCGCCTATGCTCATTAATCAATTTAGTCAACAAATATCCAGGCTCCACTGTGTGCCAGGCACAGTCCTAGCCGTAGGAGAAAGTGGAAAGCTTGGATTGTGTGGGCTGGTGGTGGTGATGGATATGCTGAGAGCACCTGGCTGACTGTGCCAAAGAGTGGAGTGCTGCGCAGAATTACAACCACATGGGAAAGGGACGAAGCTAGTCGGGGTCAGGTGTGTCATCTCTGAAGAATTGATTTTCGCTGAGCTCAGTTATGAAACGGTTACTAGACAAGGTGCTGGACCATCAGCCCTTGTGTCCGCCGTGACCCCGCGGGGCCAGTCCCTTTCACCCTAGCGAAGACAGCTGCAGCTGCACCGTCCTGACCCCTCTACCTCAGGGAAGCTGTTTGAGTTCCCACCATCAGCGTCCTGAGCCACCTGGCCCCACCCACCAGGGCATGGTCATCCAACTTCTCTTGATTTTGTATGTCACACAGTAGCCTCCCTTTTCTTCCGGCTGAGCTGGTCCTGACTGTAACTGGCTTCCATAGGGTGAGAGTTTGCACGCTGAAGGACTTTGTTACGGTTCCTATGTGGATGTCACCACAAAATCTCATTGCTCCTACGTGGGGCTTTGGGGAGGTTATTGGATCATGAGGGTTTCACCCCAAAGGTGGCACTGGAGGGAAGGAGCGGAGTCCTTGGAGTCTCTGGGGTGACCTGAGGGCGTCTCTGCTTGCATTGCGTGCCCCCAGCGAGCCTCCTCTGCCGTGCTGCAGCTGGGGACTGGAGCCTGCGCAAACTGAGCCAAAGCACACCTCTCCCCCTTTACCTGCGAATGCCAAATATTGTGTCCTCGCAACAAGTAAGTAACTAAGACAAAGCTCAAGGAATAAGTATGAAAGAGGCTGGGGTAACAGGAATTTTCAGCATCATTAATCTTTATTTTGTTTGTTTTCTTTTGAGACCTGGTAGTGCGGGCTGGCCTCCTACATTCATTCTTTGAATATATTCCCTGATTTTTTTTTTTTTTTTTAAATAAAAGAAGAAGAGAGGGCAAAGGGATCAAAGAAAAGAGGCAAAGCCAGAGGACTGGGAGAGAAAGAGAGCAGCAAAAGTGTAGCAAACCGTAGTCTCTCCCGTGTGGAGGCTGAAGAGTGCCTGCGGCCTGTGAAGTCCTGCCTTGCGCTGTGCTTAGCCTTGACTCAAGAGACAGGAGGTGAACAAAGCACACTTGCGGTTGTGTCTGGGTGGGTCACGGGCACAGCCTCGGACTGCTCTGGTTCCCGGCCCCTGCGCCCCTCCCTTGTGCCCTTCCCCTGCGCCTCTCCCGGGCACCCCTGCTGTCCTTTGTTTTCCTCTGCCAGACTTCTGCCTCAGTGCCACCCATGGAATGACACCTGTGAGACCCTGAGCAGAATGAACAAGCTCTACCTCAGGGAGTTTATCCCAGCCACAAAATGTTGCCTGGCACAGCGTCTGTCCATGCCAGATAGAGCTCCTTCGGGACAAGAGCTTACAGGTTCACTATTTCCTCCTCCAAGATTCGTGTCCTTCGCCTTACCCTCGTAGGTGTTAAAAGGCTATTGGTTTGACTCACGTAGCTTGTAAAAAATATACTGTAAAGCCTGGAGGTAAAGGCCTGAAGAGACAGTACTCCAGGAGCATCTGCCTTAGTTATACTTTGATGGTGACCTCCATCAAGATCCCTGAGGAATGATAATTTAGAATTGGAACTGTGAAATTGACTACATTACTGAGACTTTTGTATCTTGCTTTTTTTTTTTTTTTAAACCACCTGGCCTAGCAGAAAGCAGTACAGTGTGGGGATTATGTTTTTGTCTTTCTTTAAAATTTTCTTTTCATGTATTTAGTACAGGTTCTACAGGGTCTCGCTATGTAGATCGGACTTGTAGTGGTTCTCCTGTTTTCAGCCTCCCAAACGCTGTAATTACAGACGTGCGCTATAAGGTCTTGCTGTGTAGTTTGGACTGCCTGTGAACCCAGTATGTAGCCTAGGCTGGCCTCAAGGTCACAGTGATGCTCCTGTCTCAGCCTCTTGAGTGCTAGGATTACAGGCATGTGCCACCACCCCAGCCCAATGTGGGGATTGTGAATCAGAACTGAGTTCAAATTCTAGCTCTAAAACCTATTGATTTAAGTTCATTTAACTTTGTTTTGTTTTTTGAGACAGGCTTCATGTGCCATTCAGGCTGGCCTGGTGTGGGGGGTGGCTAAGGCTGGAGATTGAGCACATACATGAGAATGCCAGATGCTCTGGTGAGCCATACAGAGTCGCTAGGCCCAGGGGTGGAAATTGACATCAGCCTCCTGACAGAAGCCCTGTGCTGTGGTGAGCAGCTCCTCCCCACTCAGCCAGAGAGGGCTCCACCTAGCCTCAGCTTCCTGTCCCTTATCGGTATTTCTTCATTCTCTTGCCATCCTTCCTCTCAGGAACTTTGAAAGCAGCATTGGACACAAGAGCCTGGAACTCAGTGTAGCCCAGGCTGGGCTCAATCCTGCCGCAGTCCTCCTACTTCAGCCTCCCAAGAACTGGGATTATAGGCACGTGTCCCTACAGCCAGTTCATGTAACTTGAACCCTGAGCCTCAGGTTCCTTTTCTGAAAAGTGACCAAAATAATATTACTCAGATGGGCATATAATAAAACCTTGTTACGGTATTTGGCATGTCCTTATTTAAATTTTATAACTACTTTTAATAGTTTGGGTTTTTTTTTTGAGGTCAGGGTTGAGACAGGGTCTTGCTGGTCCTGAACCCACTCTGTAGCTCAGGTTCAAATTCCCAGTGATCCCTCCTCTCTCATTCTCCCCAGTAATTGGATTTCTGACATGAGCCACCATGCCTGGCAATGGTTTCATAAAATATAGTGAGTGTATTTAGCTATGATCTGTTTAATTTAGCTATTATCTACTTCTTTTGCCTTAAAGAGTATTTTTACTATTTTAAATAATTTTGTACATATAAATCTTAAAAATAGAACTTTGATCAAATTTAAATTTATTTTTTAGTTAAGTGCATGCCTGGCAAGTGCAAGGACCTAGGGTTTGATCCCCTGTACCATATGCCATGCCACAGTCCTCCTACTTCAGCCTCCAAAGAACTGGGATTATAGGCACGTGTCCCTACAATCAGTTCATGTAACTCGAACCCTGAGCCTCATGTTCCTTTTCTGAAAAGTGACCAAAATAATATTACTCAGATGGGCATATGATAAAACCCATCTGAACCCTGGGTGCACTATGCCAGCCAACAAAACCAGGCATGGTGGCACACACCTGTAATCCCAATGCTGGGGAGGCTGAGACAGGAGGATCACTATGAGTTTGAGCTGCATAGCAAGACCCTGTACAAAAATAAATTAATTAAATTTTTTAAAAAATAAATTTATTTATTAGAATTGACTCCAGAAGTAGAATAATATAAATAAGTTTTTTATGAGTCAATATATATAATCAAATAGCTTTTTAAGAAGGCAAAACTAGTTTATGTTTTTACCAATAACAAAAATTTCCAAGGCTATTATAGGGCTATTTGTTTATTGCAGCACTTGGGATTGAACCCAGAACCCAGAGCTTCACTGAATCTAGAGCTGAGCTACATCCTTTTTTTATATTTTAATTTTGAGTCAAGGTTTCACTAAGTTGTGCAGGCTGAGCTCATACTTACAATGCTCCTGCCTCAGTCTCCCAGAGTGCTGGGATTATAGACATGCACCACCAGGGTGCATTTTTTAAGATTTGCACATTTGATAGGTAGAAACTGTAATCTTGAGGGGCCAGCCAGATAGCTCAGTGGATTAAAGCCCCTGCTTAGGCAGATGCAGCGGGCTCAGTTCGATCCCTGGTGTACCTATAATCCCTGTGCTTGAGAGGCTGAAAACAGGAGCGTCACTATGAGTCCTATCTGTGTAGCGAGACCCTGTAAACCCTTTGGTAAATACATTAAAAAAGAAGAAAATGTAATATTTCCACATGTGGTTAATCTGAAGTGGAACATTTTCAGAGGTTTTAAAACTCTCTTTTTCCTTTGTGAATCATTTATTCCCATGAGGAAAAAGCATTCCATCAGGCGCCATGCTTACCAGGCTTTGAAGTGTTCCTTCATGTGCTGAAGAACCTTCTCGACCACATAATCCATGAAGCTGGAGGTGCTGACATTCTTTTCAAGAGAACTCTTGAGTGTGAAATTAGGGGCCGGCGGAAGGCTCGGAGGCTTACTTGTGTCATCGTGGTTGGAAGAATTTCCTTCTTGAACACGTGGAGCTTCCTAGAGGAGCAGGGTTATACAGCAAAAGGCCTCCTAAGTCCCAGCACATGTCAAAGTTAATAGCACAGTAATTGGAGGGGCAGGTCGGACTCAGGCTAGCCCAGCATCCCAGCAGCTTCACACAAAGACACTTTCCTCTCTTTACAAAGGCACTCTAACTGGCGTGGTGGTGCGCGCCTGAAATCCCAGCTCTTGGGATGCTGTAAACAGGTGGATCACTACAAGTATGAACTAGTAGTGAGACCCTGAACGCCCTGTAGACACTTCCCTAAAAATATGAAAACAAAAAACAAAACAAAAACCAATGGCGCTCTAGATTCTAGGTGACAGAGATGTATCATCGCTTGGCTGTCGCTTGGAGGCACCAAGCTTCCCTTCTGCACTTGGCAGGGAAGAGAACGGATGGACACATACAGTAGGGGCTACTCCCTGTGTCACCCTAAAAACAGTCCTTGTCATTTTGCTCACATTTTGTGAGCCAGAACTTGCCCTGTGGCACCCTATAACTGCAAGGGGAGCCTGAAATCAAGCAACTGGGTGAAATGTGGATGAAGGGCTGCTTGTGCCGTAGACGCTAGTGTTCAGGACCAGGTGTGCACCATAGCTCTGAAATACGCTGTGTGGTGGTGTGTGTGATTTTGACAAGAACTTGTCAGGCAACATACACACTAGTGACTCTCTTATTGAGTGTTTTTTGAGGCAGGGTCTCACTTTGTAGTTCAGGCTGGCCTTGAACTCACTATGTAGCCCAAGGGAGCCTTGAACTTGCTGTGATCCTCCTGCCTCAGCCTCCCAAGACGTGGGATTACAGGCGTGCACCTCCGTGCCCAGCTCTCTCTTACTGAGTTCTGAAATGCACATGTACTCATTTTAATAGTTTTAAGTGAAACTTAAATGACATACAACTTGATGTAACTTTAGAACTATTTTGAAAACGTTTTCCAGTAAATTCCCTTAGCAAGCAAAACAAAACTAAACAAAACCCCCCCAAAACCAAAAACTCAAGCAAAAACTTTAAGGCCAAGTTAAAACCACTAAATCTGTAATTCTATTACACAAAGAAATAGAATGCATAAAATTTTCACTTTTAGTGAATAAAATATACATAAAGTTGCCTAAAGCATTTCTGTCTAGTTTCACAAATATAAAGCAAACACTTCTATAACATAACCAGAGCCCATAATTGCTTCACTTGCTGGCATTTGTAGAGTTCGTATATAAGGCTTCTCTGTACCCTTGCTTCTTGATAAGTTCGGTCTTTTTAAAACAATGTTTATTTATTTGGTATGGGGCACACTACACAGCTCAGATCCATAGTGAGCCTCCTGTCTCAGCCTGCCCAGCACAGGGATTACAGACATGACCACCACGCCCGGTTTTGGTGGCTGGCTCCCGGCATGGCATGTGGTATCGGAGATCACACCCGGGTCCTTGCACTTGCCAGGCAGGCACTTAGACCACTGTGCTATCTCCCCTGCCTGCCCAGTGAATTTGGTCTTTACATGATGAAATCAGAGCTGCTTTGAAAAAAATGACTTCTGGAGGCAGTTCAGCAGAGCGGTTGGGTGTGCTGACGCCGGGGCGCCTGCCTGCGTTCGCGTCTCAGTTCTCACTGGCCGTGTGAGCTCACACAGGCTGCGTGTTCCACTGTGTGTCACCGGAACAGTGAGAAGCCAACTCTGCTTACCTGCAGTGGTTTGGATGCGGCTTGTCCCCCTGAAGACTCATTTGGAAAGTGGATTCCCAACATCACATTATTGAGATGTAGTGGGGCATTAAAAGGTGGTTAGGGCAAGGTAGCCCACACCATAATCCTGTGCTCTGGGGGTGCTGGGGTGGGAGGGTCATAAAGTAACTTAGTGAGATCCTGTCTCCAAAAGAAAAAGAAAATAAAGGACTGGAGCTATAGCTCAGTGTGAAGGCCCCAGGTTCAATCCCCAGTACCAGCAAGAAAAAAAAATGGGGCTGGGGGAGTAGTTCAGCAGTATAAGCACCTGCCTGGCAAGTGCAAGGACCCAGGTTTAATCCCTGGTACTACATGCCATGCTGGCCCTACACCGAGCTGGCCAACAAAACCAGGCCTTGTAGTACATGCCTGTAATCCCTGCCCTGGGGAGGCCGAGACAGGAGGATCACTATGAGTGATGTGTAGTGAGACTCTGTAGCAAAAGATTAAAAAAAAAAAAATCTTGAAGGAATGAGTTAGGTCCAGAGAGACTAGGTGACCCTCAAAAGCTGGTATTGTCAAGCCAGCCCAGCCCCTGGCCCCTCTCCACCTACCTCCCCCCACCCCAGCCCCTCTCCACCTACCTCCCTTTGGCCTCTTACACACTTCCTTTCTATACATCTGTTTTCTCTTCTCCTCCATGCCCGGAGCAGAGGATATTCTTGCTTAGAAGGGTGACCCAAACAAAGCTCTTTTCTTCATGAATTACGCGGCCTCGGGCTTTTCCTTCTTTATTTTGGTGCTGAAGATTGGTACCTGAAGGCCCTCACACATACCAAACATGAGCTCACTGAACTGGTCTCAGTGCTCTGACAACAGAAAATTGGCTCAGAAACTGCCTGATGGGGCTATTCAGAGGATTCTATGATCTGATGTATAGAAAAAGTTCTTAGAACATTACCTAATGAGCACTTTAGTGATTATTATAAAGATGCATAATTGAACAGCAGTATTTTACATGGAGGCTTTCATATAGTGTTGCTTTGTTATCAGTATAAAGAATTTTAGGGCCAGGGAGATAGCTTGGTGGTCTAAGCACCTGCCTGGCAAATGCAAGGACCTGGATTCGATCCCAGATACCCCATGATGTGCTGGCCCCATGCCTAGCTGGCCACTGAAACCGGGTGTGGTGGTGCATGCTTGTATACCCAGTGCTGAGGAGGCTGAGACAGGAGGATCACTATGAGACTGACCTGGTGCAAGATCGTATACCAAAAAATAAAAGAATTTTAAAAAGAAAAAAAAAAAAAAAACTTTTCAGGCACAGTGTCATATAACTATAATCCAAGCTATGAGAGAGGCTAACGCAGGTGGATAACGAGTTTGAGACCAGCCTGAGTGATTTAACAAGACCCTTTCTCAAAGTCTAAAAGAAGGCTATAAGCCAGGTGTGGTGCCACATGCCTGTAATCCCAGCACTGGGGAGGCAGAGGCCATGAGTTCTGTGCCTGCGTGGGCTACATAGTGAGGCTTTGTCTCACAAAAGGAAACAAATAAATAAATGGCTGGGGGTGTTGCTCAGTGGTAGAACACTTGCCTGGTATGTGCAGGGCCGTGGATTCAATTCCCAGTGCCATACACAAGAAAAGTTTAGATAAATTAGTTATTGTTACTCAGTTGAATGGGAGAAAATTGAAGCACAGAAAAAGAAATTGACAATAATAAAGATTAATATTATCTGTGGCTTTCATCTGTAGCAACATTCGAAAGCCCTGCTAAAATTTTCTTAAAATTCTATTTCTCATTGGACTGTAAGTCTAAGGATGATTAAACACATTGAATTCTTTTTTCCTTGCAGAGTATGCCTTAAGGGAATTCTAGAATCAGAGTTAGCAGGGGTGGGAACAGTGGCTTGCTTTCTTTATTCTTTTCTTTTTTAAACAAGATCTCACTATGTAGTTTAGACTAACCTTGAACTCACTAGCCTGGGCTGGCCTTGAACTCATGGCAGTTCTCCTGCCCCAGCCTCCCAAGTCCTGGGATGACAGGTATATACCACCACACCCTGCTTTCAAAACACTTTAATTATTGCCTATAGTAACAAATATGTTTCCCAACACAACTCAAAATATGCGTGCTTACATTGTATATGGGTCTTTATATAATGTTGCACACAATGGAAAGAAAACAAGCATAAGAAAATGCAGTGCAGTGCCTCCTACTGTTCTCTGTCTTCAGAAGTAGTTTTGTTTATTTGGCTGGCTTACAATTCCATTCAGGGCAGGTCTGGTAAGGCTTGAGGACCTGGTAATGGAACCACAGCATCCTGATTGCTTTGTTTAAGCAGTCACTTAAACAACTGAGCTAATGGGCAGCCCCCCCCCTTTTCTGTCTTGTTTTCTGTGTTTTTAATGTTTGTGACTTTCTAAACTTTTCAAATCATGCATGGCCTACAACTTTGTAGGCTGGAAAAAGAGTGAAGTGTTGGATTACAGAATGTCACAGGCCAAATTCTCTAGGAGCAGAGCCTTGGCCAGGCGTGATGGTGCACCCTTGTAATCCCAGCACTCGGTAGGCTGAGGCAGGAGGATCATTGAGACTTAGAGACCAGCCTGGGCTACAAAGTGAGCTGAAGGCCAGCCTAAGCTGCACAGCAAGATGTTGTCTCAAAAAGATAAGAAGGGCTGGTGAGATGGCTCAGTGGTCTAAAGCACCTACTTAGAACAAGCTAAGCTAAGCAAAGCACAGGGACCGTGGTTCAATCCTCC